TATTTATAGGAGCAATAATTACGTCACGAAATCTTAAAAAATATTCTATCACTTTTTTTTTTGCAAAAAAAAACATACGTCAATGACTTTTATTTTTTTTTCAAATAGAAAAATTCAAGAAACTATTTTACAATGAATATAGAAATTTTTTTTTCTCTTTCTATAAAAAAAAAAATTTATAAATTAGAATCAAATTGAAATAATATTTTTACTCCCCGCTGAGAAAGATGAAAATGACGGTTATCATTTCATTGCCTTTTGATCCTAAATTTGCCATATAGCGACTCTCGATTAAGTTTTAAACAGCGGTGAAATTTGCGGTTGACCAATTATGTTTCGCGGTCGGAGAGCTTATCGGTTAACCAGACTTAACAGTCGTTTAAACTTAAGGATATTCCGAAAATGCGCTTTGAATCTTTATTGAAATCCCCCCCCCCCAAAAAAAAACCGCCAAAAATTTCTAATTTTAATTAATAAATATCCACGAAAAATATATCACGTAGAAAAGATAATAGAATTTTTATTTCAAAATTCGCGTATAGGAAATTATAAATTCCGAACAAAATTTGCGCATTATCTATTTGACGCCCGGAAATCGACATCACGGAGAAACATAATTTTTTTTTTTTTTTTTTTTTTTTTTTTGATTAATGCTTCGATATTATAACATGAGGAATTTTACGATTTTAGATATACAATTAGTGAATGAGTCATTTGGCAGATTTTTATCATTCGCTTCAGGCTACTAATATATATATATATATATCGCGAGAATATTATATATGAAAAAACGATAAAATATAACTTTTAAGGTACTTCTATATCACACTTCGATATTATCTGCAAATTTATATTTGAGGATCAATATTAGATTTGTGGCGGTGATTAAGAAAAAAAAAAAAATATTAAAACATATTTCATTTAAATCTTAATTAATTTCACTAAATTAATCGTTTTTTTATATCAAAATCTTTTCTTTTTTTCAAAAAAAATAAAAATTTTATCTCAAAGAGTCAACAATTAAACAAATACAAACAAAAGCAAAGAAACAAAATAATATTTAATATTTTATAAAAATTATTAATTTTGGCGAAAAATAAAATAATTGAATAAATTATTATGATAAGAATTCTCCCGATTGGAAACAAAAATGATACCTTTCATATATTCTATATATTAGTTGAAGGTGGAATGGACTATCCGGAAAAACTGAAGGTCATTGGAATGCTAATGAAGAACTAGTCATCAACGAGCAAAAACTTGTTTATAATCAACTGACCTAGGAAGGTCAATGGACACCAAATTATACATTCCATAGATCTACAGTTACAAATAAATCCAAAGAAATGTGGAAATTTTGCTATATGAAAACATTTCATTTAAAGGAAGTACAAAGTTTTATCAATTCACTTTTGACATATTTGAAAATCAATTAAAAATGCAAAAATAGTCTTAATAATGAACTTTTCGTGTCAATAAGTCGATAAATAAAAAACTATTGTGCGACAATTTGCAATTTAGAATATGGCAAAATGGAATAAAATTAAATAAATAAAAAAAAAAAAAATTCCAACTAAAAACTATATGAAATACAACAACGAAAAAATTGAACGAATAATTAAAACCACACTCAGAGAAATGGTATATTTGTCTCCGAGCCTACTAACTCATTTATTTGTTGCAAATATATTTTATTTCATTTAAATAAAAAATTTATTTGAGCCAAAGAAAAATTTATTTATGACAAATAAAATTTTTATTTACGCCAAATAAATAAGTTACTAGGCTCTGAGACAAATATTTGTTTATTTAATTCAAATATATATTTTATTTGATTCAAATAAATCATTTCTCTGGGTGCAAATTAAATCAAAAAAAAAAAAACTAATAGAAAAAATAAGAAGAAAAAGACACTAAATCAAAAATAAAATTTCATTTTCTGTTGATTAAGAAACAAAATAAAATTTCATTTTCTGTTGATTAAGAAACAAAACAAAATTTCATTTCAATGTCTCTTGTAGTTTAAAACGAAATTAAATCCAAATAATTAAAAATCTGAATTCATACAACACAGATATTCTTCGAAATTTCCCAAACATTAAATTTAAGAGCAAAAACTACATCGTCATAATAATAATAATAATAATAACAATAATATAAGATTCAAAACCTGTTTTACAATCATAGAATGAATAAAATTCCTTTCGTGAATTAAATTATGTAAAAATGTTGTTTTTTTTTTTTTGACGTGACATTAAAAAGAAATTAAATTCAAATAATTAAAAATTCTTCGCTCTTATACGAAAAAAAAAAATATTTTTTTTTATATATTTTAATGACAATAACTACAGCGTCATAATAATGATATACAAACTTGTCATCTAATCATGAAACAAGACACAGATATACACAAGCACAGATATTGTGAGATAAAATTTCGATAAAAATCTACACACGATGACATAAAGTCTGGTTCAATTTTAATAAATGTCCCGAACCAAAGAGATTATTATAATAAAATTTAAATATATATTTTTTAATAAGAAATTCTAAGTTTTTTTTTTATGACATTATTAATTTTTAAAATATATTGCACACACATAGAAATAATTTTGAATTTATAAAACCCACTTTTTTTGTTTTAATTTTTTTTTCCGCTTATATATTTATATTCAGTTGACCAGTTTATCAATCGGTTTTAGTTTTCTTTTCTTTAAAATTCAATTTCTCTCTCTTTTTCTCTCTCATAAAATGTCAATTGATGTATTGACATTTAATTTTATATTTAATTAATATCAACGTGCCAATATTATTATTAACATTTCAAGCACAAATTTCCTTGTTTTTTTTTTTTATCACAACTTTTTCAATCAAACATATAATATATATATAAAATTCTCTTTTTATAAATATTAAAAATCTCATAAAATGACAGCTGTCAAATTTTGATTTTCAATCAAAAAGATTTGACATTTCAATTAATTATTTAATTCAAAAACTTCCAATATAGGAATAAAATAAAACAAGTATTGAAAATAAAATTAATGAAGCAATTTAAAAATCACATTTTTCAATGAAAAAAAAAAAAGAAGAAGAAAAAGTGATTTGTCCGCCTCTTATTATTATAAGCCTAAAAAATGGGTTTAATATAAAATTCCCTTTCGCGTCACGATATATATAACCAGAAAAGAATCACGTCACTAAATTAATTTACGTATACTATTCATGAAAATATGATTTAAGTTTGAAATATCAGAATGATTTATTTTCCTCTCGAGTATAAATTACCATAAAATGTATTTCCTCTTTTTTGCTTCGTAACAAGAATTGTTAAATAAATAACTAAAGTATTTGCTTTTTTTTTTTTTCTTTTTTTTAAACTCAATTCAACTCCAATGGAAAATTTATCTTTATATTTAATATTCTACACCTACACAAAGTTCTGAGAATTTCTTGCAATTTAATTATTTTTCATTAACAATAACATTATATATTTTTTCCAATAAAAATCATTTACAAGAATTTATTATTTATTACTTATCGAATAAAAATTAATTACTTATTCACTATTCAATTAAAAATATTGTTTATTATTAAGAAAATAATTTTTAAAAAAAGTTAGTTCAATTTTATATTTTTTGTAAAAAAAGAATACGATTTTCAGTTAAAATTTTTTTTTTTTCATTTAAAATGTGAGCAAATTTATTATTTCTTATACCTTGAATTTATTATTCTTTTCTTGAGTTATTATAGAATTATTATTACTTTAAATTATTATAACTTGTAAATAAATAAAAATTTCTGACAGTAAGGAAACGATTGTTAAATTGTAGGTTTTTGTTTTAACTAAATTTTTTTTTATTCGCAACAATGGACTGACTTTTATTTCGGTGTATTTTTCTCTTTCTTTTTTTATGTTCAAGAACACTTTTCAACAAAAAAGTTAAGTATTTGTTTTTAACTATTTTAATTCTTTAAATTTTTAACATGTAAAATCACCAAAACGTAATTAAAACGATTTATAAACTTTTTATCGTGATAAAACGTGTAAGAAAAATAATAGAAAATAAAAAAGTTTCATTAACTAATAAAATATTTAACAACAAAATAGAAAGAATTTCACTAAAGTGTAATATAGTTTCACAAACGTATTTCATACGTCTAACTTTTCTAACTTCTACAAGAGATATAATAATAAAAATAATAATAAAAATAATAATAATAATAATAATAATAATAATAATAATAATAAAAACAATAATAGAATATAATAAAAACAATAGTAGTATAATATAATAAAAATAATAATATAATACTTTCTCTATGAGGACGCAAAATAATATAATATTATAATAGTAAATCTATTAATAATTAGTAGGGATTTAATTATGAAAAAATAAAACGACATTTCAAAAAATGACTGATAAAATGAGTTCAGATAAAAGGCAAAAATCAAGAAATTTTCATACTAAATTAATAATTAATTAACAATCGTAAATTAATTATTGATTACTCCAGCAATACTTAGCAAATTATCATTTAACATTATTTGTTAGGAACTGGTGATTTTAAATGAGCCAAAAGTTCTGAACGTTCAAATGAATGAAATATTTTTTTCAATCTATAAATTATCAAAAATCATGATGGTCAATGTGAAAATAAAACAATAAATTTAACAATTATTAAAATAATAATTTCTTTTTAGATATTTAAAACAAAATTTTGTAATAAAATTCGTACTTAAAGAAGTTGCGAAAAAAAATTTCGTTCATTTGAACGTTCAAAACTTTTTGACTCATAATTTTAAACAGTATTTAATTTTCAAAAATTCTTCACTCACTAATTAAAAAAATTTATCTAAAAGAAAAATTAATAAAATTTTGAGATATTAGAAAAATTGTAAAGAAAAAAAAAAGAGCGCGCGCACAAATCTGTTAAGAGCACATTTTCTGGTTAACCGATTATGCATTAGGTAATAAATAAATCATTTAAAGACTTACCCTTTCCTCCTCACGAATCATCTCCGCTATGCCCGGTTTGATCTCGAGGTCATCCGTTGGTCCAAGTGTTTGATTAATAATGCTCTGTTGTTGTTGTTGTTGCGCTTGTTGTTGTGCTTGTTGCGCCTGCTGTTGCGCGTGCTGTGCTTGTTGAATTGACAGCTGCTGAGCGGCGTGAGAGCTGAGATGATTCACAGACACGTGCGGACCGGAAGTCACGTGGCCAAGCACGTGGTGACCGACGCCAGGGTGAGAGCTTTGACTGCTCGCTGATGGTGGCGGTGGTGGTGGCAATGACAATGATACCGGAAGCTCATGTAAATTAATTTGAGGTGTCACCGATATTGTTGGAGCATTAGGCGAACCAAGTGATCTTGGCGTTGATGATGAGCCAAGGCCATGGACCTCAGCCGATATTATACTGCCGGGATCATGATCCTCTGAACTATTTTGATCCGGACTATTGCCAGATGATGGTGATCTTTCACCAGAACCTCTACGACGTTTCTTTCGATGCAACATATTTAACGCTGCATCCTCCAATGTTGGTCTTGTTATTAATTCCTGTTCATTATTAACATCAGCTAATCCTCGAATTTTAAGACTCTCAGCGACCTTGAGCAATGGTCCAATTTGTTCTTGTGATACATTTATTTCACCCTTGTACATAAATTCAACGGCTGCCTTTAATTCAGGCCATTTTATATCCTTCATTATGACAATTGGATGCTGACATGGATTATCAAAGAATAATGCCTGGAAGTATGGACTGCATGCTGAGAGGACCATTTTGTGTGCCTTTACTGAATGTCCATCGCACGCTAATGTCACATCAACAAAACTCTCACTTTGCAGTAATTGATCAAAAACATTTGTTAAATTTGTCTGATAATTATTCCATCTTAAACAAAATTGCTGGGGTGAATCAGCGCCACTCTGTTGTGCCATTTTAGCCGATATTTGACTATCACCAAATATATTAAAGTCCTCCAGCTTTTCTTCTTCGCACACGTGTTATCGTGTGAATATCCAAACAATAGTAAAAAAGTTTAAATCACTCTCGATCAGTCATCTGGAACATATAAATGGGGGCAACACATGCGGGTGTTTTTTCAGTTTTCTCAAATTATTCCAATAAATACACTCTCACGAAAAAAATTACACACACATTCACACAAACACACACTTATAATGTCAAGCCGGCAGACGTGAGAGCCATGCTTTCCACAAAAGTCCGTCCATTAAACACAATAATTTCACAATTCATACCCTCATGGTTGTCACGTGGAAACACATGTCAACATAATACACTCATATATACATCCCCCAAAGAGAACTAGTTTTCTATACTGTTTTCCCCAAAAAAAAAAAAAACAAAACAAAACACTAAAACCTCACAAAATTAAAATCTGCTCCATAAGAAGTTCACTCTATTATCAAAAAAACACCAACAAAAAATAAATGCTGTTTTATTTTCGTACACTTTTATTTTTCTTTTTTTTCTAAAGAGAGAAACGTCACGCGCGATATTCCGTAAAACGTGAATCGGAAAGAAACGCGGAACAGACGTAACAGACACGATGTTCACCGCGTGACGAACGCGTCGCGACTGAGACCCCGCGCGCCACTCAGTTATCCAGCACCGTGGGGGCGATAGCGTTCGGTTGTTGGCGCGGGTGGCGGCGAGTGTACACGAGTGATCCCCCCTCCCCTTCCCCCTTCATTCTCTTCGACCGCCGCGCGCCCCCAAACCCCCAGAGCGGCCCCTCTCGAGAGGAAACCCACCCCACCTAACTTTGCCGCCGCCGCCGATGTCTCTCTCTCTCTCATTCTCTCTCTCGTTCGCCTATTCCTCCCTCCCCCTTCTATACAGGCACGGTGGTCCCCCCCCACATTAAGGCGCCCCTCTCACCCATGGGTAAGCTACGCGTTCTACCCCCCACTGCATCAACTATTCTCGACCCCCTCCTCACCCCACACACACTGAAAGCGTGAGTCAGGCCCCGCCCCCGAAGACCGCCCCCTACCGCCTCTTCAACTTCATCGAGCAGATGCGAATAGAAATCCGATCTCCAAAGATCGGACGTTTCTTATATATATATATGTAGAAACAGATTTTTTTTTTTGAGGGAACTTTACGACCTTATGGATGAGGATTAAGTGTTGAAGAAGATGACACTTTTCCAAGAAATAGGAAATACGAATAAGAGGGTGCTTTGGGTTTTTCAATTGGGACAACTGTTGCTGATGCACGAACTTTGGATTTAGATTATTTTCAAACGAGGATTCTATTCGATTTGTTATCTGTTGATTGGTAATTGTTTGTAAAATTTAGCACTAACTTTGGGATTCTTCTTCTTTAAATAAAGAACGATTTGGAGCAACTAGGATCATCAGTCATTTTTACAAAGGCCGAAATTAGTTTTCACTACAGGGAAAAAAATGTCTTAGTAGTATTCGATGTCTTCTTTTGTTTTGATAGCCTACTGTATTAACAAATAGACAATCCTAAGTATCTAATCCGGTAAAATTTTTCGTGGTTAAGTGGTTTTTCCAACCAGAAATAATATTAGTATTTTTTCTGGTTGAAATAACTGAAATTTTAATTTATTGGCGAAGATTTGTAGTTAACGGAATTTTCAGGTATAGCAGTATTGTTACAATTAGAATTCTAGTTTACAGATTTTTCTGATAAGCAGTCGTCTTGTTAAAACAAACAAAATTTCAGACAGAACTTTTTGGTAAACAGTAGTCTTGTAAAAACAACCAGAATTCTACTTGACGTTCTGGTAAGCAGTAGTTTCGTCCAAACAACCAGAATTCTAGTTGACAGACTTCTCTCTTAAAAGTCTTGTTAAAACAACCGAAATTCTAGTTGACAGAACTTTTTGGCAAGCACAAGGCTTGTTAAACTAATAAAAATTCTAGTTGGCAGAACTTTCTGCTGAGCAGTAGTTTTGTTATACAACAACCAAAATTCTAGTTGACAGAACTTTCTGTTAAGTAGTAGTTTTGGTACAATAAACAGAATTTTAGTTGACAGAATATTCTGTCAATCAGTAATCTTATTGAAATAACCAGAATTCTACTTGACAGAACATTCTGGTTAGCAGAATTTTCGTCCAAACAACCAGAATTCTAGTTGACAGACTTCTCTCTTAAGCAGAAAAAATCTTGTTAAAAGAACCGAAATTCTAGTTGACAGAACTTTTTGGCAAGCACAAGGCTTGTTAAACTAATAAAAATTCTAGTTGGCAGAACTTTCTGCTGAGCAGTAGTTTTGTTATACAACAACCAAAATTCTAGTTGACAGAACTTTCTGTTAAGTAGTAGTTTTGTTACAATAAACTGAATTTTAGTTGACAGAACATTCTGTCAATCAGTAATCTTATTGAAATAACCAGAATTCTACTTGACAGAACATTCTGGTTAGCAGAATTTTTGTCAAAACAACCAGAATTCTAGTTGACAGACTATTCTGTTGAGCAGTAGTCTTGTTAGAACAACCAGAATTTTAATAGACAGAACTGTTTGTCAATCAGTAATCTTATTAAAACAACCAGAATTCTGCTTGACAGAAAATTCTAATAAGCAATATTTTCGTCAAAAGAACCAGAATTTTATTGACAGAACTTTTTGGTAAACAATAGTTTCGTCAAAACAAGCAGAATTCTAGTTGACAGACTATTCTGTTAAGCAGAAGTTTCGTAAAAACAACCAGAATTCTAGTACAGAAAATTTTTTGGTAAGCAGAAGTTTCGTAAAAACAACCAGAATTCTAGTACATAAAATTTTTTGGTAAACAGTAGTTTTGTTAAAACAACTAGAAGTCTATACTAAACAACTTTTTTTGGTAAGCAAGCAAAAAACAACCAGAATTCTGGTTACCAAAACCAGACTTTTTTGCTTCCGTAAACCGAAAACGATTCTAAATATATTGTACATATAGCTTCAACAAAAGAAAATTTTGATTAAGGTGTCAAGATGACAACATCTTTATATATATGAGGAAGTCGTTCATAAACATTAAATTTATTCTCGTGCAAGTACAACAGCTTACCATCCGGAAACTTAACCTGGATAGTCTAATTGTCAAGATGACAACTTCTACAAGGAAGTCATATAACAATCGTAAAATTATACTATAGTGCGTATACTAATTCAATTATATAGCTACAATTGTCTATTGTTGAAAAAAAATTTTTTTTAAAATAATACCAAAATTCTTCAGGTTTGGATAAATGAAAAAGAAATTATTATTATTTCCATTTTAGTTTCAGAAGCATATTCGCAAGTAAAATTTGTAAAATTACCGCAAAACTAATTGATTTAAACTATAAGAAATTCCAAAAGTATGCAATTTAAAGATTGTAAAATTATAGTAAAAGATCGTCCAATTACAAACATAATATGACAAAAATATATTATTGTAATTATAGTGAAAAAACAACGATTCTTATAATATTTGTTAAATTCCTAATGAGGATACCAATTAAGTTATATTTTATATGACAACAATAAAATCAAGTTAATTTTCATATATTAAAAAAAAACTGGATTCATTCATTTCTATACATATATAATTTTATATAATTTTAATAAAAAAATAAAAAAAAAACATATGATAAAAGTCGTAAAGTAGTCTTGAAACATGCAAATAATTTGCTGTTTTTATAACCATGTTATAGGTGACTTAACAAGATTTTATATCTCTTTTTTGTGGGAGGATATGCAAATATTCCAGTTCTTAATAATAATTTTTATTATAATAGTCTCAAACAAGTAAAAATAATCAAGTTTTAAGATTTTGTGACGATCGCGTCTTTTTTTAAAAAAATTCCTCCATTGATTTTTATTAATAATAACGATGAACAATGGTTCGTTAATAAATATTTTTCATGCAAAAAAAATAAAGCGAAATGAAAAATTCAGCTCTCTTGTATACTATTTTTACATTGCTTTTACATTCATTAAAATTTCCAAACCAATTTTCAGAAATATTTATATTCTTTCTATATATATTTTTTTTTCCCACTGATTTACTATATAAACGATGACACACTGTATTGAAGACGAAATTCAATGTTTGATGGGAAATTGATTTTTTTTAAGCAAAAAAAAATACAAAGGTTATATTTGTGAGAGTTGGAGGAAGGGGGGGGGATGAATTACGATGAAGGAGAAATAAAATTACCGTGTGACTATGTATTGACCATCAGGACATTGTCTTTTGCTATATAGGTATATATATATATGTACTTGGGAAGCATCGCATGGTCACAACCTGCGATACTTAGGCAGGCATGTTTCTCAGTAACGAAGTTACGTTTCGAACGGAAAACGAAGATGGCCGTCGTAATTAAATTTAAGGTACAAAGAGACGTAGTCCATCCGTACCTCCTAGTCGCCCCAACTCCCCCTAGCCGGTTATCAAAGTGAAATTCAGCTATAAAGTGACTCTATAGGGTGTTTCAATATGCCATAACTTCATGTAAGCAATTGCCCAAAGTAAATAAGTTATCGTTCCTTTCTTGGGAATTCCCCCCTCCCTTCTTTCATTTCTCCTGAAGAAGAAAAGGGTAAAATCGTTCTACAACTCAATGAAATTTCATTTAGGACTTGGAAATTTCAAAAATAATAAACTAATTTTTGATTGGATTTTTTGTATAGCAAAAACAAATTGAAATCTGTAGCACTACAATTTGTTAGTACAACAAATTTTTAGTTGTTATAACAATAAAGATTTGTTGTAGCGACAAACAAAATTTTAGTTTCAGGTTTTGTAAGTACAATTCATTTTTCTCCGTGAATAATAATCCAAAATTTTGTTGATGCAAATAGAAAAAATGGAACTTTTACCTTAACGAAATTTTGATTATGCGAACTAAAATTAGATTCGTACAACAAAAATTTTAGATGCGCATTTACCATATTTTTAAAATCGCAATTGACCGAACCAAAATTTTGTTGCAACCAAACGCAAGAAAAATGGAATTTCGTTATCTTATAACCAAAGTTTGTTTATGCCAAGTGGTTCGATTGGTACGACCAAAATTTTTTTGTTTAACAAAATTTTGGTATTACCAATCGGTACAACCAAACTTTGTCTGACACAACCGAATAGGAAAACTAATTTTATCGTATAACCAAAGTTGCATCAACAAAATTTTGGTATTACCAATGCAACCAAAATCTGTCTGACGCAGCCGAATAGAGAAAAACTAATTTTATCTTAACCAAAGTTGCATTAATATTTGTTGCACCATCAAAATTTTGGCTGACACAACCGAACAGGAAAACAAATTTTATCATATAACCAAAGTTGCATCAACAAAATTTTGGTATTACCAATGCAACCAAAATCTGTCTGACGCAGCCAAATATAGAAAAACTAATTTTATCTTATAACCAAAGTTGCATCAACATTTGTTGCACCATCAAAATTTTGGCAACTCCAATCGGTATACGCAACAAAAATTTTCCTTGACGCAACAAAGTAATTTTGATTTGTATATTAAAGTCAAAACCTCTCGTAATTTTCGGTAGAATAATAAGAATCTGAATAATTTCAAAAATATGAATTCCAGATACTCGTAAAAAGAAATGGATTTCACGCGCAGTTCATCAATATTGAAAAAAG